TGATATGGTTGTTGTTGTTATTTATTTGTAAATAAGACTTCAGTGCTAGTCAAAAATAGAATAATGAGAGTAAAAAAGAGAAACAAAATTATTCTCATAAATCGCATCTCTTGCACATTTCTCTCCTTACAGATTCAGTGACAACTAATCTAATCGTCAATTTCCTCGCAATTCAATGCATAATGTTGACTCAAATATTCCCTATTTTAAAGAATATTAATAAAAGTCATGAGATAATTGTTTTTAAGTATTTTACTGTAAAATAGAATAGGTTTTATCAAAATATGAAAGTGTACAAAAGACAACAAAAACTCATAGTAATACAACGTAAGAAAATTTTGTTAATTATAACAAATGTTGAGTTTTACATTTTTTTCATCATACTGGATTACCGTAGTATAGAAAATAGAAGATATTTTTTGAGATTAAAAATCTTTAATACCACCTTCTCTTTTCTCACACGATGGGAAAACGTCGAAGAAATAAATAGTCCGTTCTATCGAGTCTAACTTTTTGTCATTGATATTACAGGCAGTCTAAATTTTTTTCGACAAATATACGTACGTATCTTCTCGAAATATTTAAAAATGTTGACATTTCTTTATAAAAAAGTCGGTTTTTGATACTTTTAACGGTTAAATATCTCATTAGAACGAAAGTTGAAATTAAAAATACTTTAAAAAAAATTGAGAAAATGAGAGTCTAAAGTATCTGTAAAAAATATTTGAACTCAATCGAACCATTCCTTCGAGGAGTCATAACGTGACTGGATTAGAAACACTAGTGTTACAAGTAATATTAAAGCAGTCACTTTTTGTAGGGCAGTAATTTTGCACAGATTGAAATTATGCCAGAATCAGCGAGGGCAAATTCAACAAAAAACAGCATGTATTAATAAATATCATTTAGGAAACAGACTCTTGTAATGCAAAGTAAATAAAAGAAAAGTTGTCTATGAAAAGTTCGGGCGCTGTCATCAACAGTCATTAACATTGGCTTCAGTTTTCTGCCATAGTTTTGCCCAATATTAGCGTAGTTTTCTGGATTTTTAAGAGGAATCTCACCCCTGTAAAAATTTAAAATACTTCCGTCTAAGAGAAAGATCTAGAAGAGAAATTTACTTTAGAAGGTATCAAACAGTGCATGAAGGATTTAAAACAGAAACCAAATCGATTGTAATATATAAAAAAAAACCAAATATTTAGATAAATGGTGGAAAATAAAATCCAAAATTTAACGTTAAAAATCTTTGAAAACAACAGTTGAAAAGAGAGATAGAGCGATGATCTGAAACACCGACAAGAGCGCATTTTTATACAATATTACATTTTATCAGGAAACCGACAGAATATTCACGTACATCTTACTAAAAAGTCTCATTAGGAACACTGGATATTCGTTCGCACAGAAAAGGCATCATTCAATAGAGACAATATGATAGTAAAATCAATAATCTCTAATAGTGATAACTTACAATATCTGATTATCAAAACGAGACATTTTAATGCGAAGCAAAAAAACGCAACAGCAAAAGTTGCTGATATCAACGCAAACACGTTTTATTCATCGTAAACGACGCTAAAGAAGAATGGTAAGATACAATATTTAATGCGGTGCGAAGCAGAAAACCGCATTCTAGCAATCAGCATGGTATTTTCTTAATACGCTTTTTCGTGTCATTTTCTCACGCTGTTTGTTCAAGATCTGAAAAGTGTGTAAGAAAAATATGGAGCGGGCTCTGAAAATGGGAATGTCCTATTTTGTAGTTCTGTAGAACATTTCGTTTCTTGTCTACAGCATCTAAAAGATGGGCGGACGTAGAAATTTTACAGCAGAAAGAGATAACTGGTATGGTGAGTGTACATGCGCCATGTAGGGTGAAGAGGGTGAATCTATCTTTCTTCTATCCTTCCTAAAATTGACTATTGCTGTGCCTTGTATGCCAGTGCGTTTTCTCTTACTGTTCTTGATTCTATAAACAAATTTACTTCTCGTGTTATTTCTCGCAATTGGACTACCATTCTTCTAGTTTTCTACGTGTGTCTTAACTTTCTCTTCTAAATCTCTCTCTTCGTCTTAAATACTTTAGACTTCTACAGTTTTTCAAAATTTATCATCGTCTGAGTCCGATTTCTCTTTTTTATACTATTCATCGTCCTCACTACTCATCCTTGCGTCTTCAACACTATAAATATGTTCGCATTCCATTGATGGTTTTTCTCCGCAAACGGTGCATTCTCCTTTTTTTTATTCAACTATTGCTGATTGGAATAATTTCTCAGAGTCAGTTATTTGTCTTTCTTCTTTAACGTCCTTCAAAACAGCTTTAGTTCAGTCTCTTCCAATGAAACGTCTGTCGGTTAAAAATGTATACTTCTTTTTTTTATTTTTTAAATTTTTGACTACTTCTGGTTCTAACCTTACGAGGGAAGGCCACCAACTGTCCCATCGTTTTTTCCATCAAACCTAGTGGGTTACAGATATTCAATCACGCTGATTCCGAATATCACAATGGTTTTCCCCTAAAGGTCTCTGGAGATCCCGGTTTTGAGAAAATCAGGTTTTTCAGAAACTCTAAAAAACAACCAAAACCTTTCTTGATGAGACATGATTGTAGCCTGCACATTTCTGATTAAAATGAGATATCTCCTAGCTCTACGTGACCTTTCTTTGCAAAGTCATAGAATTCACAAGAAAAGCCCTAAATTAATTTCTTATTTCTGTAGCTTTGAGCTGACAATGAACATTTAGGGCATTACTTGTAAATTCTGTAACTCTGCAAAGAAAGGTTGTGTAGAGCTGGGAGATGTCTCATTTTAATCGGAAATTTGCGGGCTACAATCATGCCTCATTAAGAAAGGTTTGGGTTATTTTTTAGAGTTTCTAAAAAACTGGTTTTCAAAAACCGAGGTCTCCAGAGACCTTTGGGGAAAAACCATTGTGATATTCGGAATCAGTGTGATCGAGTACCTATAACCCACTAGGTTTGATGGAAAAAGCTTGGTGACCTGCCTTCGTCTTTTTTATTACTCTTTTGGTGTTATTTGGCTTGAGTCATTGTTATTACAGATCGGAGACCTTTGATGACTCTCAGTTTTCGTTAATAAACAGTTTTAGTCTAGAGAACACCCCTTTCAAGTTGGCTTGTGGCCAGTAAGCTCGTTCTCTGTAATTGCCATTATAAATCATCAGTGTTTTTTTCTTGATTTTCGGTTTCTCTGTCAGAAGAGCTTCGCACTTCGCATTCGCAACTCTCGCATAGTGTAATTGCTGTCTAGTTTTACTTAGATTTTGTCATGAACTTCGCGTGACTTTTCTGACACTGTACTACAAACTTTGCACTGAAAATAGCAATGCAAATATTGGTAATATTACGTTGTTTAACGGATTTTCTGCGTTCCATAGGGTTGCATTGTATGTTTTGGTTCTTTACAGAGAGAAATAAACAAAACACAATAGAGTGCTTAAAAGCATAAGGAGCAGCATCCTTTTGTGTAGGCTGAGCAGTAACGCCAGTCAGAATTTGAGTAGGAGTCTCAACTGATCATAACTTGTAATTTTGAAAAGCTAGAAACATTCCATAATATCATCGCTGATGACGTTTTGGGCGACTTTGGATAACCACCAACGGACAGTTGAGACATTAATAAATTTTTCAAAGATGTCGCTCTCATTTGGATATTTAGTTTTCCGAAGTAGCTAAGTTATTACTTTTTTCTCCGATAAGTTGTGTTAGGAAGAATTTCTTATTGAATGAATGTATTTTAAGTGTCCTAAATCTTTCAGGTGCTTTACTAATTGTTGTATTTTGATTAGTAATGCATTTAGATACAATCTGCGCTAAAAAAATATTCAGCACTATGTAAGATTTATTTCTTAATATAAATTAAGTAGAAATTCAATCTGGAAATTTTTAATTATCTTCCGCATAGAGGTTCCGATTAGCATGATTGACAACGAATGAAGTATTCATGAAGAAAAAGAATTCACTCTCTCTTTGTTTGACGGATCCTTCTGGGAGATCAAGCATGCATAGTGACCAAATGATGATCCTCTAATTACTCCTCCTTCTTCCTTAAAACCGCAAAATTCTAAATTGTATTGAACGTAGTTTATTTATTTTAGATAGATTAATTCATTTATTTTTTTTGATTGTGTGCGTTAACCTTTTCCCCCTCTCATAAATAGTTAATTAACTAGTGAAATTATCCAACCAGACATGTCGGAAGCAGAATCAAAAGGCAAAAAGGTAAATAGAAAGTTGATATTTTTAAACTCGTTTTTCACCCAGAAAAAAATAGCTAGAAATGCGTTTGAAGGCCATCAAGTTCAAGCTCATCAAGGATGTCTGTTCTTTGTCTCTTTTCCTCACAGATAATCAATAAGACTAATAAAGCAAATTCATCTTGATTTAGTATATTTATAGAGTGTAGCGTACCTAGAAGCATTCTCTTAGATATTTTGTGTACTGATTGCAAAACTGATAAAGGAGCTGTGGTAACTTTTGTAAACTAAAATTGACAATCTAGTATTTTCATGTATCTGTCTTCTAAGTTAATGAATGAATATTATCTGTCGTCCAAGGCAATCGATTTCATTTGAACGAAATCATGACATTGATACGTTTCATCCTGTCTTACTAAAACATTCATTTCTATATTTTTGTTCCAATTTCGTCGCTATAAAAGATCAAGTCAGAATATGGTAGTTTCAGAAGTTGAAAACTGAGTAGATTGCCAGGGCCGTAGTCAGAGGGAGGGGGAGGGGGTAATTGGGGATCGATCTCTCCCTTGACTTTTGAAAAAACGATTTTTTTCTACTAAATCCCGTCAGAAAAAGTTGCTAGTTGATAAGAATTCAAACTATCTCAGAAGGCAAAAACGTCGATTTTCCCTTCGCAAAAAGTCTGGCTACGGGCCTGAAGTTTGCTAGTATTTCATATTCCAAGAGTAATACTTTTTGCACAGAAAACATAAATCTGTTTTCTTTACTATTGATATGCGTTAGACGTATTCGATGAGCTATGATTGAAAATGTATTGCAGACGTTTCCTGTTTGTGTTTCTATTTTTATTAAAATTTTCTAATTGTTTTTTGTTTTCGTTTATTTTTACTTTTAGCGTACTCATGAAGATGACGAACCAGAACCGAGTAGAGGTAAAAAGAAACCGTCGGTAAAACCACCAAATAGAGGTCAACCAGAACCAGCGGACAAAGACGATGTTGAAGATGAATCTGGAGAGGGTGATGAGGATGATGACGAAGATGAAGAAGATTCTAGACCAACATCGGCGTCAGCAACCGTAAGTTATTTTTAATGATCTTAACATCTCTCTGTGAATAATATTTTGTATCTTTTAGAGTGGAGCAAAATCGAAACGAAATGGAAAACCATCGTCTACTGCTGCAGCAGCTAGTGGTGATGCCGAAACAACAGGCGCCGACGAAGAGTATGATGAAGGTAAGCAAAATGAGAAGATTTTAGTCTATTAGTTCATTCATACATTTATAAAAAGAGAGAGAGAGAGAGCACCAAAAAAAACGTTTCTAGTGTTGTGTGATAATTACAGATCTGTCATTATTAGTGAAATGCCACTTTATCTTTCTTTTGTTAATAATAATATGAATAAACTAGAGAATGATGTTCGAGTTTTATCAACGTGATTCGACTGATTATTCACTCAACAAACAAAATTTTAACTCCTTTGCAAAGATAATATGAGACTTTTACTTCAGTTTTAATATTAAATGATATTTTATTTGACAAATTTTGCTTGTAGGTAGAGAATCGATAATGGAATTTGTATTTTTTTCTTTTTAGATGATGATGAAGGAGACGAGGACGATGATTACAAGGATGACGCCGATCATAGTCCAGAAGAAGTAGACGAAAGTGACGATGGTATGTTGTTTATTTGTTGTTATCATTTTGATTGAAATCCATAGAGTTGAAAGAAGATAACTATAACATGTTTTGTTATTATTGAAGACAGATGTCATAATACGAAAATAGAACGCATTCCTATGTTGTCTCTAAACACCAGATATATACCTGTAAACACATGTATCCCCCTTATATATAAAGATATATTTATTGAGAGTATATATGAAATTTCATCTACAATCTGGTCTTATTATTCTTACATTAGACACTATATATCTGGCTAATTCGTATCACGACATCTCTGTCTTTGATCTCTTTATGCTGATAGATTCTAATAACAACTTTTGTTCACGATTAAGTTTCCTCCAGCTTTTTCTTGGATTTTCAAGTACTTCAGATTGCACTATAGGACGCCTTTTTACGAAGAAGAATCAGATCACTTTCATTTGGGAAAATATCGATAGTAGTATACTTGTTTACCTTCTTATATACGTTTATTTTTTGCTCGTTATTTGATATTAATAGATTCTCTGTTAATAGCAATAGCTTTGAGCATCTCATCTACCTATAAATTGATAAAGTGAATAGAAAATATAATTGTATGTTTATTGTACTTTGTGAATATGGTCTCTTTATTGTAAATCTCTCACTCCCATTCTAATCTAAATGTCCCTTTATATTACGTATCGCAGATTCTACTGATCGTATTTTAGTCTTATTTCCTAACTAGTAGACAATATTAACATAGTTAGAATGATCTCATTGAACATTCATTTAATTTCTTTTTTTTTACAAAAGACAAAATTATTGAAAAAAAATATTTATTTCATTAATACCGTTGTATATTTTTAAATATTGTCCTACGTTTAGATAGCTGTTAATTAATATTTATTTATAATATATAGTTCTATTATTTTTTTGTTTAGATGAAGGTGCTGTCGGTGGTGGTGACGACGATGATTCAAAAGGTGCCGGAGAGGATGATGATGATGATGACGAAGAAGCATAACAAAACAACAATATTAAACAGGAGAAAAACACACAACATTATACACAAATTTTTTATCATAGATAGTGAGATGAAAATTCATTCATTACCAAAGCAACAAAAAACAATATTTTCTCTTTTATTCTTTCTGTCTCTATCTCTCTCTCTTTCTCTCTGTCTGTATCAATTTATTATTATTATTTTTGCCTTTTTGTCTTTATGGGTCGTTCTTGTCATCTCCTATAATGATGACTACTAATACTACTACTACTACTACTTTGTGTTGTTGTTTCTATCAATGGTCACTGTTATGCAGTTTTGTTGTGTGTTAGATAGAATTTTTTTTCCTTATGATTTTATTCTTCGAGAATAAAATCATCATTTTACTTATTGGAAAGAAAACTAGGTGTGTACCTACACTTATTTTTCTAATTCTGTGTACAAAAAGTTTAATGTCTTTGTTCCTATATAAACAACTGGGAATATTAAAAAAATAAATTAAAAAAAACATTGTTTATCTGTTTGTTGTTGTTAAATGCTATTGTTTTCTTCATCAAACACACATTCAAATGTAACCATACGATCTCTCTCTTTTTTCTTTGTCACTGCTCTTCTTAGTCTGTCTGCTCTGTTCTGTTCTGTTTTCTTTTTTCATACATCCATTTGCTGTCTTCATATATCATGTAGAGAAAAAAAATTGAAAAATAAATTTGTGTTCAGAAAAAAAAAATTAAAAAAATTAATCATGATGGAAACACAAGTTGTTAAAAGTGATGCGATATAAATGTGTTTCAGATTGTAAAAGACAAAAAAAAACAACAACAATTGTATATTCGAAAACAAATTCGATAAAATTTTTCAAGAGTTTATAAATGAAATTGAACAGTTTTCTTGTATTTTCTTTACTTTTATTCTTTCTGTACAGTATAAGTCATAGTTAAGTTGATGATGTCAGTTTTCCGCCATCTTCTTTGGCTTTTTCACGATCTACTTAGAGTATACCAAAAGTAACGAGATTTGCAGATAAAACCTCACAGACTAGAGGAAATTAAGTTTTGAAAACTATAGCAAGTATTTGAGCTGCTTAGACATGATTACTCGCGCATAATAAATTTGTTTCAAAAAATTTGCTAAAACGTTTTTTCAAATCATCGTTGATTAAAAAATTGAGTATTTTGATTACAGCAGTGCATATGAACTATTTTGATCGGTTAATTTTCTTGGACATGGCCGACTAATACATAAAGTGGTAGAAGGCCATAAGTTCTAGATTTGACATACATAAATGGACTTCAGTTCTTCAAATTAGAAGGATTGCAAGAGAAGAATCTCTACCGACTACAGTTTGACACAACACAATATTTCATGCCTTTTCTCAAACTAATTAGCCAAATACTCTTAAAAACTAGACATATGGAAAGAGAGCAAATTTCTAATCACCAATATTGTATCAAAAATTCACTAAAACTATTTTTTTTTTATATAAGCAGTTTTATTTAAAAAAATATTCTTACGAGGGAAGGTCCCCAACTGATAAATCGCTTTTGAGCTCTAAGATAGTGGATAATAGGTAATCGAATATGCTGATTCAGAATATCGTATTCATTTGGGCAGTTAGGGACTTTCGATTTTGGCTTTGAAAAACCGGTTTCCTACGCCAGAAACCCTTTTTGGGCAAACAATTTTTCTCATACGTCCATATGAAAAAGCATGCCGAGAAACCTATAAAAAGCATTTTTTGACATCTTTTCGACGCTTCTCGAAACATCTGGAGGCCCAGCACTGACCCACGGAAAAACTGTTTGAGGCTTTTAGGCCTCCAAATCTTTCGAGAAGCGTCGAAAAGATGTCAAAAAATGCTTTTTATAGGTTTCTCGGCATGCTCTTCCATGTGAACGGATGAGAAAAATTGTTTGCCCAAAAAGGGTTCCTGGCGTAGGAAACCGGTTTTTCAAGGTCAAAATCGAAAGTCCCTAACTGCCCAAATGAATACGATATTCTGAATCAGCATATTCGACTACCTATTATCCACTATCTTAGAGCTCGAAAGCGATTTATCAGTTGGGGACCTTCCCTCGTTAGACGTTATGCCACCCAAAGCGACAAAAGCCATTACAGAGGTGAGCAAACGCTTCCGTTGTTACATACCAGAGACCAATCAAAAAAAGAAAAGAGAAGAGAGTAGAGATGAGTAAAATGAAAAAAAACAAAAAAACAAAGAGAAACAAACAGTTTTTTGAAGATGTTGATACAGAGTAGCTATTAAAGTAATGATCAAAGGAACAGCAGCAACGATGGGAGGGTGACTAGTGTGTGTGTGATACTGAGGGAGGATAAAGTAGACAATATAAAAGCAAGCTCGGGAGGCAGCAAAACACTAACTATGTTATTATGACATAGAGTTGGTGCTAAGATAAAAATGAATACCATAAAGAATAGGAAGAGTAGGAAATAGTCTTTACTACCCACAAAATCAAAAACGCTTTGTACATTTAATGTATTCAACAACAGCCCTATAAACAAATCGCATGTCATCAGTGTGAAGTGGGCATCGCAGAAGCATGAGAAGCAGGAGATCCATATTTATAGTGCCAAAATATAAAAAATAAAAAATACTTATCAAGGTGGAAGAGCAAAGATTATCAGATAGTGTTTCGAACATCAAAAGTCATTATGATAATGTTCAATCGTATATTCACAAAGCTGTTTTTTAGTATCTTGTATCAAAACGTATCTAAATATTTTATATTCACCGTATTCTACGGGTCCAATACTACGTGGTTTTCATGTGTTCTATCTAATTCATATGCTTAATAAATCAAACGACCTCTAATCATTACATTGAGTGCTGTAACAAAATTGATGAATTTTTCAATCAAAGATGATTCGATAAAAACTTTCAGCAAATGTTTTGAAACAAATTTATTGTGCGTGAGTAATCATGTCTACTAGCTCAAATACTTGCTGAAGTGAAAATTTGATTATCTCTAGTCTGTGAGATTTTATCTGTAAATCTCGTTACTTTTGGTATGCCCTAAGTATAAGAAGACAATGTTTTGATAAACCTTCTAGAAATATTATCATAGGTATCGAATGGATTGTGTAATTAAAAATATATTCAACTAGTTTGATAACGGCTTGGTCAGCTAACTGTCACCCTCAGCTACGGTGGGTTGACCGATATGTTTTCTCTCTGATCAGCCTTAAAAGCACGTCACTAGATGCAGTTTTTCACGCTGATCATAAATATGAGCTTTAAATTCAACTAAAATTAAATCAAAAACCTTGATGATTTTTAATTCTAATTTCCTGACCTACTTTGTTTTATTGCAAAAAGTTCAAAAAGTACACTATTCGATAGAGAATTAAATTGTCAACAAGATCGTCTTCAAAAAATCCGTTTTTTGACGCGCTTTGTCGAAATGATAATGGACCTTTTTTTGAAGCAATTTTATGCAAACTAAAAACGCTTTTCTTACTGTTTTTTTTCTTCAGCTCAGTCGGATAGAAGACACTCGATTGTATATGTTTTCGTGCAAAAATAATTCACAAAAGCACTTTCATCGGTCAAAGTAACAACGAAGAAACTCGCCGGAAATGAAAGACTAAAAATGGTATAATTTTGTTACGAAGGTGATCTTATTCTTTTTATTCGACTAGAGTGTGTTTAAATAAAACTAAATACAACTTCTGGAAGCCCGAAATCCGAATTTTTATATGAAGTGCTAGTATTGGTGTCTGACTTCGGAGGATTCTAAAATGATTCTAAGACCGAAGAAAAATGCTCTTTTCTGTAATTTCGTTACGACATCCATTTTTCGCTACAACTTTTGATCCATTCAACCAATCAAGTTCAAAATTCTTTAGAAAATATACTGGCTCAAGTTAAATTTATAAAAATATTCTGAACCTTATCTGTTTCTTTTTTTTTAATCAATAGACGGTACAAGTTACTATCAGTATAAATGACTTCAAAAGGGAGTTAGTAGTTTCAGTGACAGGATGTTGAGTCACTTGCATCTGTATCCAAGTGATACCTTCCGGTTTCGTTCGCTCATATGTCGATCGCTAGAGGGTATCGAGCTAGTAAAAAGCCAAAAAGAATTTTCTCCCATGACTCTTGAAGGCCCAGTTTTCCAGAAACCCTGAAAGATAACCAAAACCTTTGTTAATGAGCCAAGATTGTAGCCCGCAAATTTCTGATTAAAACGAGACATTTCCCAGCTCTAAAAGATCTTTCTTTGCAAAGCTAGAATTTGCAAGAAAAACCCTAAATTAATTTCTTATTTCTGTAGCTTTGAGCTGACAATGAACATTTCAGGGCTTTTGTTGTAAATTCTATAACTTTGCAAAGAAAGATCTTGTAGAACTGGGAGATGTCTCATTTTAATCAAACATTTGCGGGTTACAATTATGCCTCAATAAGAAAGGTTTTTGATTACTTTTTAAAGTTGCTGAAAAACTGTTTTTCCAGAAAACTGGGGCTTCAATAGGCTTTTTACTAGTTCGATACCCTCTATCGATCGACGTATAAATGAACGAAATCGGAAGGTGTCACTTGAATAGGTCTCTTCATAAGAGACTAATAACAGTTACTGATTTCGTACTCTGAATGATCGTCTTAATTTTGTAGATTATGATGTTATAACCATCGGACGTTTCTTTCTTATAAGGATCAATTGTGTCACGTGATTCTAGAGCATCTCCTTCTATATCTTCATCAAATGTTTTACTTGGAAACAAATTGAAACCATCTTGTTTAAACAAATCTTTGGAGACATCAAGTTTTGACTCTGGTATTCGGTTTTTCCTTCGTAGTTACTATATTTAGCCAAATAAACTGTATCTGACCGTAGATGTTTTGGAGTGTTATCTTTCATGTGAAAGTCTGTGTAGCTGATGGTGGTCATGAAACACCGTCAATCTTACCTTTTCCTTATATATACAGCTTTCCTTCATTATTTACTTCTTTTCTGTTCTGTTTGTGTCTTTAAAAAATGGAACCACGAATATAATCACAA